ATGGCGGCCATTGCTTGTTTACATTTGAAACAGCAGAGTAGTGAATTTATTGCCAGTCTACAGAAATGTAGCTTCACAACAACAAAGATAAACACCTTCATTTATTATTGCACTTTAAATCATGCTTGATCTTTTCTTTAATTTTTTCGAGGAAATAAGTGTTAAAGATTTACTTAATTTTTAATAATTAGTAACTTTTAATACAGATATTTTGAGTTTTTTTTTTTATTTTTGCCTTGTCGTGAAGTGAGAACTGAATTAATTGAATCAGAAATACTCAATCGTCTGTGAAAAACTGTTTCTTTTTCGTTTGGTTTGCTTAATTTCTTTTGTACATTGTTCTAGCTTTATTATAGTATTTGAATAGAGCATGTGGCAACGATTAGATAATTCTTTAAATGATATAAATTTTGTTCATTCTGAGTTACAATATGAACAAAATATAATACTGTTAAGTGAACCTAGCGCCAGAGTGTCGCTATGGTAAACAAATAGAGTGAATTTTAAAGAACGCATTTATTCTATTGTGGTTTATGCGCTGTCGGCGAAGTAGATTTAATTAAATCCAATAAGTTTAAACGAAATGCAAGAAAAAATGCATATAATTTAATATCCCGTACAAGGAAATCATGTGGTGTACACATCAGATTTCTTTTGTAAAGAAATAACAGAAATTTTTTAACTTCTCCTTTAAATCTACGAGAAAGTTGATTAACACTTATACTTTATAATTTTTACTTAAAAGTTCTTCTTTAATTTCATCTGGGTCAGTGTCCATAGTAAGATGGCGGAAGACCACTTTGCGATTTTTTTCGTCAGGTAAGAGAAATGAGTGATATTTAATTTCTTTTTTTTTTTTTTATTAAGGATGCTAGTCATAGCTCTATGAGTATTGACATGAGAGACTTTAATCTTGAAGCCTTCCGTTTGTATATATCCAGTATAATTAGATTTATCTGATAAATTGTGTTCTGCAAATAATGCTTTTAGTTGCGACCAATTAAATTTTTTGTCATTTATATATATATGGCAGGTGGTGCTTTGCCTTTTTTATTTTGAAATTCTTCATTTGTCTTGAAGTCGTTTGGAACATCAGAACTTGTGTCCATTCATTCTTGTCTATGAAGGTAGAAGCGACAACTGGTTTGCGTTGAGGAGGATTAATTGGACAAAAATAACCCTTCTTCCTTTTACCCACTGTACTACCTCCTTTGAGTTTTTGTTTCATTTCCTGAACTATCTGTTTCTTGTTCTAATGGTATTTCATATGAAGTGTCATTATTTGGTTTACTTTGTGAGCCTTTCATACGTTTACATTTGACTATTTTCCATTCGCTTTCCTGAGAGGTGGAAAGAATTTCGTCTTGAGGACGTTCTAAAGAAGCTTTGATTTCCTCGTGAGCAGAAGTTAAAGCATCATACACTTTTCGGAGCAGATCGAGTTTTTTGTCTTCTTCGATTGAAAGACTTCCATTTTCTTTCTCGATTTTAAGCTCCTCAACAGTAGCTGCAAACACTTTCAAAAAAGATATTATAATCCATGAACAATCCAAACAAAATGGAGCCTGTGCAAATCCAAACCTTAATGGAGGGAGTCTGGCACCTTGGAACCAGACCCACACGAAGGTGTTCTGGCAGACAGATGAGCCAGCGAACACTCACAAGACAAGCGATCCCTTGTCTTCAGCACTGACAGCCAAAGCTAGAGGGTAACTATGTGAGGGAAACAATCCAATCTGAAAAAAAAAAAAAAAAAAAAAAAAAAAACACAGGATCAAAATCCAGCGAATTAGTGATAAGCAATCAATGGCACATGATAAGCAACCACAAGGGCAAAAATGCAGACAAACTTCAACGCCGAGGTGGGAAAATACATCATCCATTTATGCGCTGTCAAGAACAATTGGTTTGTTATTCAGATAAACCCAGGAATGGTTCAGAACTGGTGAATTTAGGGCGGGTAAATTTTTTTGAGTTTAGTAAAGCCCCCAGCAGCAAAATTAAGGGATGAAAAAAGTTTTAGAATTTACGCAGATACTCAGCAGCAGAATTTTGGACCCGCAGAGATTGTAGCAGGCTGCAAAATGCCTAGCACCAGCCCAAAGTAAGCCTTAAGTATATGTGGGAATTAACTTATTCAGAACTCAGATAGCATTAGGCATGTGTGGAAATTAGGAAAAGATATAATAAATAACTAACGTAAATTAAGCTTAACTTTGTCAGCATGCAACAGAAGCAAAGTAAAATTTAGCAGAACATGCCTCAGTCATCACACTTATGATGTATCACCAAAAGTGTGTAGTGGATGCTAGATCAGCTTTACGATGATAGCTAGGAATTTGAAGTTTTTCATATATTGCAAACGAAAAGCAAAATTTTGCAATTAATGGAATTTTTGAAGAAATGTGCAGAAGTGGTAATAAATGAAGATGATATAACACAAGATTTTTATTGCAATGACAATGCCCTATAATGATCTAATATCGGAAAAGATCCCACATCAGGATTCGGCAAAGTCCCGATGCATCCAAATCTCAGACTTTGTACTATACTGACGTAGCAGGTGTTTAGTTTAATAAGTGCTTTAATGGCCACGTAGGAAATTCAGGTATAAGGTTACCAGACATACAGGATTGTTCTGGGTAGCACTGGATTCTTAATTAAATGAAAATGGAAAATGTCTGCAATTTTTAAAAGTGATATGATTGAAGTAGATTAGGATATTTAAATTTTGTCCAAGTACTTGAGGGTTATTTGCCACAAGCCTTTGTGGAGGACATTTTAACATAAATAGCTGGTATTCATGTTAAACATGTGGAAAATCATGAAATCTCCCATGCAGGTTTACGGTTTGAATTTGGGTCTACCAGCATACTGAGTTTTACCACTTGGTTATTGGTAAGCCAGCTGAAGAAGAATAAATAACAGCACAAAGTCCATAATCCAGACTCGTCGGGATTTCAAAGATTCCGGATTATAAATCATCAATTTAAATCTGGTAAGATGGCATGCAGAAATTATACAATTAAAAATATGAAACTGTAATTTATAAAATAAAGAGCAATTATGATCAAAAGGGTAACAAAATTTACACACACACAAAAAAAAAAAGCTTAATATTTATTTGTTTACTGTATTAGAAATTTCTTTTAATGTAAGTTGCTTAAGTAGCTTCGTTTTTTGTGCTAATACTTTCTCTTTAATTCTATAAACAGACATAATTTCTTGTTCAGTTACGAAGTTCCACTGTTCAAGTCCTGTAATTGCTGTGTTGAGAATATCGACTAACTTGTCAATTGAAATTTCTTCATTTTCAATAACCTCTCTGTCACTTTCTTCACTATCGGGAGTGGTATTTTCTGGATCTAGAACCATACTACAGATTTCACCATCCGTTAATTGATTGATGATTGGGGCTTTATCCTAACAATGAAAAACTTTTGTTATATCATCTTAATTTATTACCGCTTCTCCATCTTTCTTTACAAAATCCAATACCTGGAAAATTTTACCTTTAGTTTGTGATGTCAGAAAAACCTTCAAATTCTCGGCTATCATTGGAAGCTCCAGAATGGAAACTCTTTTTGACATAATCGAAAGTTCAAGCTTAATTTTTATACAATTGCTCTAACAGTCTGCAAAAAATAATAAGCCTGATCCAATTAGAAGACGAAGGAACAGCGCAATCTGCAACATTAACTGAAATGCCTTAAAAAGATAATTTTAGCTTAGCTTATACCATCTGTTATACATTAAACGCGCATGCGTAAAGCATACAAAAAAAGTTTGAGGCTTTGAAGTCCGGATTATAGATCATTCCGGATAACGGACATCCGGATTACGGATTTTGTACTGTATCAATTTACAAAAAGGAGAAAAGAGTGTGAAACTTTAGTGAAAGTTTTAGAAGAAAGCAATTATTTTAAGATAAAATCAGGTATTTTTTATTAAGTACCATTGCATCATTCACTTGTCGCAACAGATCTACAGAAAAACACAGTCTACTTTTCACTATTTTTGTTGAGTTCTTTGCTGTTCACTTGCCTTTGTTTCCTCATATCAACTTTTCGTTTGTCTCATGATCTTAAAACACTTATTTCTGTCTTAATATTGAAATTATTTGTTCATGTGTCCTAGGTTAGCTGTTTTAAAATCTGAGAAGCCTATTCATATATCATAAAAGAAATAATAAACAGGCTTACATTGAGACTGAAACCTTATTAAAAAAAAATCTTTAAAAATCTGAAAGCTTTTAGATTTTATATTATGCAAAAAGGGGCGTTTTTTTTAATGATTTGTGTGTTACCTTTATTTATTAAATATCATGTTATTCGCACTTTAAACCCTAAAATTCAATTCAACAACAATATCACAAAATATTTAAAAGAGCATATTTTTAGAATTTCCGATACAGTCTCATGTGCTGGAGATAAAAATGTTTCCCATACAGTGTTGCCATTGCTCGCTTTGAAATCGTCGAGTTTGTTAATAAAAAATTCTTTAATGTCTGAAAAATATGAAAAAGATAATAAAACAAATTTCAAATTAGGGCTTCCAGATGCCCATATTCGGTAGAGAATTAAGTTATTCAAAATTTGATGGCTCTACCATTGTTTTATCACAATGCTAGAAACATACATACATTGATGCAGATTCTTCATTATTTAATTTCTTTAATACAAGTTTATACTATTATGTGGCAACGATTTAAAAAGCGACTTGCCAAGTGAATCAACTCAAAATGCCAAAACGAAATTAATAGCCTTTCTGAGACAACGCCCTTCGGGCTAAAAAAATGAGCAGCCACTATTCATAATGCTTAACAATATGCAGTGATCACCATGTGAACAACAGTACAGTTTACCATAAAAGGACACAGAATTTGTTAGTAAAAGTTAGAATGGACTACCAACAAAATGACCACCATATTTCCAACCTTTTTTGCACTAGAAGATGATATCATAAACTAATAATATCAAAGATTTAAATTCTTTACATACCTTTTATAATTAAATTGGCCCATGTATGAGATTGTAATGCTTGAATTATTCTTTCATAGCCTTTGACATCTTTGATCAGCATATCATCTGAATAACAAAACAGGTTATAAATACATATATTCAATACTAAATAATACAACAGAATAAAATAACTGTAATTTACCCTTGGTAAATTATATTCATATAATTGCATTTCCATACACACACACATATACTATAATAAAAATGAAAATTCAATAATAAAAATAACTCCCATTAACAGTGAGTCAAATGCTGCTGGAAAGAGAAAATCGCAAGATTTTTTTTTTTTTCTTTTGGCAAGCTAAGAGCAAAATAAAATTAAAATAAATAAATAAAAGTAGAAACATATATGTTAAAAATAGAAGGATCATGTAAAATTTTAGCTCTTCAATTAAGGAGCAGACCACAAGTTCATATGATCTCCTACACTTCTAAATTTATTTCTGGAAGACTTTAAATAATATTTTAGAATATGTAGTTAATTAAAAGCTACATTACATTCCAGAAACAAATCTCCTCTAACCCAGTCAGAATAAACAATGTAAACATGTAATTAGAAAAATCTAGAAAGAATTACTAAAATTTGCTAGACGAATAAAAGCAGAAAAAATATGTAAAAAAAATTTTTTTAGGTACTTAATATATCTCGTCAATCTGCCATGTAGCACGATTTAACATAAATTAAGAATGACCATGTCCATTATAATTCTGCAATAATGACTGGTGACCATTTTCAAAATTTCCAACAATGGTTGACAGGAGTATCATTTTTTACTTGTACAAAAAAGAAGTAATATTTGAACCTTACTTGAAATTGGTCAAAATTTAATTTATAATTATAAAACTGGCAAAATAAAACAATGTCAGCATAGCAGCAGTTTAAAAAACAACAGCATTATGAAAATTCAAAAGAACTTTCAGAAATAAAATGAAACACAATATCAAAAATACAAAGCTTCCAAAATCTGAAATACTTAAATTTAGGCTAAGATATGTAGGTAAATTGAAAAATAAGTTTCCCCTGTAGACTGTGGTCAGAGTTGTGTATGAAAGTCAAAAAATAGAATGAGACATTAAAGATATGACATACCTTTATTTTTCCACATAGGTACCAAGTACATTGAGACATTTGTCATATCGCTTGATAAGCTTCAAAAAGTCCTCCAGGAAAAAAATCAGGTTTTTGCTTATGGAAGAAGCGTTGAGCGGCTATGGGCGAAAGGCGACACAGCAGGAAAAAGCGCAAGTCACCGATACACCATTGGTTAGAGGTTGCTGCAAATCAAGCAGATGGCACTGTTGCAGTGCCTGTGCAAAGTGGAGACCAGCCTCTCATTTGAGCCCCAGTAGGTATGGAGAGAAGGTGCGTTTTGAATTCGTGGTCAAAGGAGGAAGTGAGAGCGGTTATCTACTATGAATGGGCACGTGGAGTATCAGGAACAGAAATTCATAACCGCCTCGTGGAAGTCTATGGCCCAGGTGTGATGTCGAAGCAAATAGTGCGGAGATGGTGTCGCACATACAGTGATGGACGTCAGCAAGCGGAGGACATACCGAGAGCTGGACGGACGCGCACGGCCACAGATGCAAATATCAGGAAGGTGGATGACATGATTAGAGCGAACCGGCGTATCACCATCGATGAAGTAGCGGAAGAACTTGGAATCTCACATGAGTGAGCTCAAAACATCATCCACGATATTCTTCGATACAGAAAAGTGTCAGCACGATGGGTGCCCCGATAATTGACCTCGACACACAAGGAACAACGCATGGGGGTCAGCCTGGAACATCTCGTGTGTTACCATGAAGATGGCAATGACTTTCTGTTTCGGATTGTGATGGGGGATGAAATGTGGGTCGACCATTTCATGCCAGAATCAAAGGCCGCATCTATGGAGTGGAAACATCCGTCATCACCTGTCCGAAAGAAGTTCAAGACAACTCCCTCTGCAGGTAAAGTGCTCCTCACAGTTTTCTGGGATGCCCAAGGAGTTTTGTTGCTGGACTTTTTGGAGGTTGGAACCATCAATGTTACGCGCTACTGTGACACCCTGTCGAAACTGAAAGAGGCGATTTGGAAAAAGAGGCCTGGCCTTCTCACATCTGGCGTTCTGCTGTTGGATGACAATGCCAGACCACATTCGGCGACGGCAATGCAAAACCATATTGCAACTCTTGGTTGGAAGCGCCTACACCATCCGCCAAACAGTCCTGATCTCGCACCAAGCAACTTCCATCTGTTTCCGGCTTTGAAGAAAAATCTCAGGGGAAGGCGCTTTGGAAGCAATACTGAAGTGAAACAAGCCGTTCAACGCTTCTTCCATATGCAAAGCCCTGATTTTTTCCTGGAGGGCTTTTTGAAGCTTATTAAGCGATATGACAAATGTCTCAATGTAGGGGGGGGGGGGGGGGGGGGGGGGGGGGGTGGGGGGGGGGGGGGGGGGGGGGGGGGGGGGGGGGGGGGGGGGGGGGGGGGGGGGGGGGGGGGGGGGCTGGTACCTATGTGGAAAAATAAAGGTATGTCATATCTTTAATGTCTCATTCTATTTTTTGACTTTCATACACAACTCTGACCACAGTCGACAGGGGAAACTTATTTTTCAACTTACCCTCGTAATATAGCAATACCTCACATAGTGCAGGTAGTTGGTTCTGCCAGTATCCTGGACTGCTTGAATCTGAACTAATCAAGACACTAAATACATATGAAAAAAGGGGGGAATTAGTTCCCCTTAAAAATACTTACTGTTTTTCAATTAAAAAAACAAAAGTACTTTGATCAGAAAATTTTTTTTTTAAATGCATGCTTTTTGTAATTCATTTTTTATCCTTTAAAAATTGCAATATGTACTTTTTTTTTTTTTTTTTTTTGTTAGATCTTTTGTCCTAATATATTTCTCTGTAGCAACAAACTGTGATGTTTATTATTTAGCAAATAAGGCTATATTCTGTTAGTGGAATAGGGTATTTTGCATAATGAAATTCAGCAGTTTAATAGGACGGTGTTATGTTGTTATAACTTTATTTTTCGTACTCAATTTGAGCAGTTTTCTTAAAAGTTTTTACACCACATGCTATTCCTTTCCCCCTGCATTACAGATTAAGATTTTTACCATCTTAATAGTGTCTAAATGCATGAATGTCAAGTTCAACACTGAGATCCATAATATGCTCTGACAAGGTTTTAATAATTCAGTAACTTTTTATGGCTGTTTAGCTGTTAATCCTCATGCAGACACTTCAGCAGAATCATTGCTACTGTCTAGATTGTCCTCCCATTCTTTCATTAGCCAATTGTTTATCTAAGTTAATAAATATTTCATTGTTAATAAGTCATCATTTACATTTATCAAGTTGATATTTAGTTTCAATCCTCTATTAGTAACTTCAAAAAATGAGTTTCAAAAAGCAATGAAATCATTTGCACAATGTGGTATGATAAGTTTCCATGCTTTCATATTGCTTTGCCTTTAAATCATGCCATGCTTTGCCTATATTTTAGACAGCATTTTTTATGTTGAAGCTCTTCAGAAATTCTTTAAAGCAAGCCCATTTTCCTCTGCTGTAACATTTATGGATTGCAAAAAAGTGTGGCACAAATAATAAGTCTTAAATTTTGCAATGACACTTAAATCCCTTTCATCTAAAAAAACACTTCAAGTGCATAAAGGCTAAAAAAATTATTCATCATTTATGTAACAAAAAAAAAATAATTTTATGTACAAATTTTAAATTCAGTTTTTGCTCAGTTAAAATTTAGTTTGTTTTGAAATTTTCAAACCAGATTTTATACTAAATCCCGACTGACTGAAGCCAGCCTATGTGAGGTTTTGCAGCAATCTGGGAAAATAAAAGTATCAGAATGTACATGCTACTGCTTTAAAATTAAATGAAATTTACTACAAATTATTCAACAGTATTCTAACACTCAAAGCTATTAATCTATTATATGATCCACTATCTATGATCTTTAAGTGGTTAAGAGATTTTAATAGTTAAAGGCAGACTTTTTAACCCATTTTTACCAGCAAGTTCCTCATTCAAATCTTATTTAATAAAGTAAAGATTTAGATTGTTTTAAAATTTACCTTTATCTTCATTTTCATCAGATGGATTTAATTCAATTAGTTCAAAATGATTTTTAACACACCAATTCATGATGTCTTTTCTTGCCTGTGCTAAAGTATAATTAAAAACCAGACAATGATAAGCATAAAACTATACAGCATTGAAACTGACTGCAAATGTTTTGTAAAATTAAGCAAAAAATTAATAAAAAGATAAATTCTTTGATTAAACTGCCCCTACTTAGAAGTAATCATGTAGTAGCATATTATGTCACCAAAATAGTTATATGGCAACTCATGACATGAATAAAATATATTTACATGGCAACTCAGGGGTGTACGCCGGCACCAGACTTGTGTTTAATTAAATGTAAATTTCCACCTTCCAAATTCAACAGTCTTTCTCTGATTACAGTTTGTTTTTGCACTGAGTATATTTTTTACTCGTAATAAATCACAATGGGACTGTGAAGTGTATTCAATGAAAAGTATGTGTTGAATTTCTTCAGAAATACTGCAAAAATTTTCAATGCACGAAACTATACTTCTTAATCGATCAAATTTTATTGAAATGCATTGTGAAAATTGCAAAAGGATGCTAAAATTGGATTGTTTGAAGTTGTACTTCTTAAACTTTGAAGATAGCCATATCTTGTTTACACCAGTTATTGACTTCATTAATTGTTGGACAAAAGAATGTAATTCAGTGAAGTTCTGTGAAGAACCCAAAATTATCCCCAAATGCAATTACGGGACTGATATGCATGAGAACAGCAATTAAAAAAAACAAAAAATTGCATATGGATTTCTTGAAAAGGGAAGTGTTTTATTACAGATGCTTCTTGCTCTTTTAATTTTATTAATTTATTGCTCTTTTATAGAGTTTTTAGTGCACCACTATTTTGATAATTGCTGCTGCCTTTTAGCTATTAACTTGATAAAAAATTAGTCAACGATCAGTTGAAAACCTTTCAGGAGAGGAGTGTGGATAATCAGAAAGTGCTAAAATAAATATATAAATAAATACAGATTTCATTCCTTAATATAACATTTTGATATTAGGAAGTCGCACTGTAAAGAACAGTACAACTTAAGCTGTTGGTTATGCCATTAACACAATGTACACATAGTGAAATATTCTTCAAACTTAACTCTCTATGGAAAAAATGGGTTAGGTATAGTACAATTATGAAAGTACATTATGTATAATTTAAAAAACCTAAATATTCTTGGAATTAAAAGGGAAAATAAAACTGTTTATTCAAAGGATTTTTATTAATGCTTAATAAGCAGATGCATGGCATAATTATTTTGCTTTAAGAAAGCTAAAAATTTTCCTTGGGACAATGACTGATACAACACTTTAAAAAAGTTTTAAAGCATGTTCAAAGTGCTCATAAAATGTTCTCTTCTTTCTTCATTTGGGTCAATTGCAAAATCAGACAGTTCTTATACCCTTTTTAAGAATTTGTTTAACTTCTTATCTTAGGCGCTTTATCTTATTTTCACCACAGCTGCTTTCACTGTTGGCTGGTGTTTAAAATCATCCAGTTCTTCATCATTTTCAATTTTGACTTCTCCATTCATCTTTGATTTCTCCTTCTTCCAGATCAGAAATTTTTTTGCTGCCTATTGCTTTTGGGATCTGTACAATTTCTATGGCTATAGCAAAATGGCCAACACTCTGCAGCACACCACGTATAAATGAACTTCTAATGATGGAGAAATTAAATGAAAATACATATGCACTAAATCACATTCTAAAAATCTGTGCTTGGTAAGGGTTTATTAAAATAATAGCAAAAATATTTTTATGCTTTCTAAAATAGCTTCAGATACTTATGAATTCTTGCAAACAACTTAGTGTCATCAAATTTTCAGAATATGTTTTTAAGAATGAGAATTTAAGTATCTTATATTTTAATGTATAATGCAATCCTTATTCAATAATTGAAATCTGAATTTAAAATTCTTAAAGTTTGTTTTACTTTGATACGCTGATAAAGCTTCTTGACTTAAGACAAATATCAATACAGTTTGGGAATAAAAAAACAAAATAAAATAAAAAAATGCAAAAATTGTCAGCTAGTACCCAATTAGCAATTTTGACTTTTTCAGTTGTAAAAAGTCACCAAATGGTAGCAATGCAGTTGCAAAAATTAGTACCTATTTTCATATTTTTCCATTTAAAACTACGTCAAAGCATTTTATATAAAAAAGCTAATCGTTCAAAAACATTGTTATCCATCTAAATCGTTACACTATGAAAGAAGTGCATAACAAATCTAAAAGTTGCATGAAAGCTAGAAAATGCTGGGATGTGTAATGAGTAGCATTTTATGACACATACACATTACAGGCAAATATATAACACATGGAAGCAGTATAAAAATGTAGACTAAAATGATGATTATTCATTTAAAAATTATGTTTACTCATACTTTTTTGTTGGAAGTTATGCTGTGCTTTGAGTGATAATGAACTTAACCAGGACATCTCAGAATTTTACTGAGCCTACTGGGACTGCTCATTCTTGTACAGCACAACTGCTGCTCAGATTAATTGAGATTCAGTTACTGTTATATGAATTTCTATACCTGTTTTTAGACCGATATTATAACTAGAATTTAAAATTATGATTTTTAAGCAACTGTAGGCTTATATTATTAATTCTGTCTTTGTCTAACTTTCTGTACATTTTGAACCTTCATATACACATATCGGGAACAGCTTTTTTGGGAAGAACGCCACTATCTTGCGGGGGGGGGGGGCACGCGTATCACTTACAACTTTTCTAACAGACTAAAAAATATTAAAAAGGTAAAAAAATTTTATTTATAGGCTGATTACGGGAATTTATCTAAGTCTGAGTAGTGGGTATTTAAAAAATAATATAATAAATAAAACATTGTACCAACTAGGGTTTCACTGTTAATAAACATTTTTAAAGGTTCAGTCAGTTAGGTTATGTATAAAATAAAAACGAATAATTTGAAACATTTAATTCTTAATAAATATTGAGCAGTCAGTACTTAATTAATGTGGTTTCTGAATATGTAATTTAATCTTAGGATTAGTTCTTGAAGACGCTTAAAAAATTAGATGTTTTGGGTTTATATCAGTTAATCCTTGAACAATTTTGATTTTATTAGGTTCATAATACAAAACATTTGTTCATATGTTGATCCAAATTTACAACAGTATCTGATAGCCAAACAGTGTAAATTTGGAATATTGCTTGTTGGTATAAATGTTCAAAATTCAATATAATCTGGATCATTTGCAGTTGAAATAAGTTCCTTGTATTTGCTTTTCAGTTTGGCAGGCTGTTAGATCAACAATTTCGATTTGGATTTCAGTTAGGTAACAATTGACATCTTGCAGAGAGAAACTGAAAAAGGATTTGTGAAAAGATCAACAATTTTTTTATCATCTTGAAAATCACATAACCTAGAACTGAATGAACTCTGCGAAATGGATAAATTCTTAAACCTATTACAGTTCGGAGCATTACTGAATTTGGTAGCTAGTTTCTGCATTAATGTGAAATGTATTAATATTTTTTCTCCAAAATCGAGATATAAAAGCATAAGTTTGTTCACAAAAGAAGATATGTCTAACTAGGGTAGAAAAAATACAATATTTTCCCTGTAATTTTAAATTTAAATTATTTAAATATCCCACAATGTCGATGAAAATCTAAATCTCACACTCAGTCTTCATTTTTAAGTAGCAAGCACACTAAGCAGTTCATCGTTTTCTTCCAAATATTTTAAATATACTCCCTCGAATTCTGTTGTTCAATTTAGTTGAACTTAGAGAACAGTGCTGGAGTGTCGCTACAGTGAAATAAACTAAAATTCAAAGAGTTAAAAAAAAATTATATATATTCTAATGTGTTTATATATGTATCTATCAAAGAAATTGATACAAATGATGATATTATTTTTTCAAATCTTTTAATTTTTCAATAAGCCTTTGCATGCCACTGTTAAAACTCCACCATGCTACACTTTGGTACATGTGCCGCAGGTTGGCCATCCCTAACATATGCAATCAGCAATTATGCACTAAAAAAAAATACTTAAAAATTACCAGAACTCACATTCCTGACAACAGTTATTGCATACTAACAGCTGAACCTCTGAATCAATGTCGCTTAAAAATGGCATCCAGTTTAAGACATCTTCGAAGCTAGAAAACTGTTTGCGAAAAGAGAAAAGTAAAAAATTGCAGTAACAGTTTTATGATAAATTATTGATGAAATTTAATTTTAAATAATGCATACATTAATATATGGTTGCTTTTTAAAAAAAAACATCATACAGATATTAAAAAAATGTAAAAATAAAGACAATTAAAATAAAGAAAAATACATTTTTTTAAAGAACATAACATAATACAGACCTTTTTTTTTACCTGCTAACAGAGTTATCATAAGAAACAAATTATTTTTGTGAATTCTATATTAATTATGAAAATGCTTTTCAGTTAGCTAATAAAATTATACACATGTATATATATATAATCAAGTTTCCTTATAATAAACACTAGCCCTGTGTTGCTTAATTTAATGAGTTGTTTCAAGCACCTTTCAGTAATTAAAAAAAAAAAAAAAAGCTGATTTGTTTAAATTTTATTTACAAGCATATTTGTTATTAATTTTTCATTTCTTTCTCTCTCCTCACATCTCTACAATGCTTGAAACTATTTCATTAGTAAATATTAAAAATCTGCTAAACTTTCATTTGTTGATTTTGTAATAACTGAGGGTATATATGGATGGATTATCTGTATTTTAGCATATATGGTAACATGCAATATAAGGTATCAGAAAATTATTTTTATGCAAAAGCAGATCAAATAATTTATGTTTTGTAGCTGATATATTATATTTTAATTTATGCAAATATTCTGGCACTAAAATACACAGCTACTTCTAAAAATGCTTCAATTAAAACATCACCATTATCCTCAACAATAAAAACATAGCCAATGTCTGCTGTTTCTGCCTACAAAGAAATATAATGAATTTTATTTTACAACTTATACTTGATATGATGCAATCTATACTTGATACAATGAAGCTTATAATCTAATCAATCACCAATAAAGACTCCAACTGCTACTTAAGAATTAAGTCTCACACACAACAGGCATAATGTTTCTAATTTAAAAGCCATATCAGCTATGTGTGTTTCCATTCAGAACATATGTGCGTCAGTAATAGTTAGTGTTCCTTGCTCAGTGAATATGATAAAATATATTTTTTATTTCTTTATTTTCAAAATGTTAATTATTTAATTTACTTTTTTATTTCTCATATTCTTCTATTTAATGAAAAATAAGCACATATGTTTTTATAAACATAAACTGAATTTCACCTCGTCTCCCTAAAGTACTTTAGTGTAGATCATAATATACATGTACCCAGAAAAAACTGAGCCACAATTACAGACTTCAGCATGCATTTGTGGTTTGATGAGTTGTGTAAATGATCAAATTTGCAGCACCAATCAGCACTGAAGAGCGATACAACATATGTATAAAGTACGCAGCTGGTAAAAGGGCAGGTGTGGCAAGTGATGAGCATTTACAACTATGTTGACGGTCATTATTGAAACCAGTGGCTCAGCAAAGGCATTGTCAGTCACTGCAGAGCTTCAGGGTATCTCCAGGCCTACCAATGTTCAAGATGATCACATAATCAGAGGAGTTGTCTCGTCTGCACCAAAAGTTATGTTATCATCTATTCAAAACCATTTGTCAACTTGCAGGGGTCCCGGGATATGATTTTCAGAACACTAGTTGATGTTGGGCTTAGATCTCAACATGATATTTCAATACAAGCAGGGTCGTCTTGCATGATGCTGCTCTCGTTCAAGCTAGACAGTGTCCAATTGGACAACTGTGATCTTCAGCAATGAATCACACTTTTCACTCAATGCTGATGACCGACACACACAGAACTGGAGATGGAGAAGTAAATAGTCTAATGTATCATTTGTTACTGAGCAGCACAAAGCCAGAACACAAAGAGTGTGATAGTCTGAGGAGTGATAAGCTGGGACAGTTGTTCACCATTAGTCATGCTGCGAAGTACTCTGACTCCTTGCAGATATGTTTAACAACATTTGCAGTGATACTGCCTCTGCTAGCAGGTTATCCAGCTTCTGTTTTCTAGCAGGATAATGCTCAGTCACACATAGCATGACTTTCCAAACAATGTCTCTGATGTATTAATTTCCTCAACTGACCTGTTAAGTCTCCAGATCTGTCACCTATTGAACATGTTTGGGACATGTTAGGCAGGCAAATTCAACCACGTAGAAACACATCCCAACTCCCTGATCCATTGCTCCACTTGTGGCATAATCTGCCATAGAGAGACATTGAGAATTTAATAGACATCATACCCAACTGAATATCAGCTACTGTAGCAACTAATGGTGACTTTACCATCAACTGATTTTCACATTCTTTGTATTGTTATTGAAAATGTTCTCCAGGAATGGGTTCTACTAGCAGCGAAGGGCAGGAATGGGTTCTTACAGTGATTACTGTGCTTGAATCACCATTTACCAACTAATGTAGTGATAAAAATTTACCAAGATAGAAGACAATATTTTTATTTATTACATGTGATGTTGCAAATGGCGATCCATCGACGTCTGGATTAAAGACTTTTGACTGTATATTTTTAATTTAGACAGTAGAAGAATGCAAGAATACATTTAAATTTTAAAAAATGTACCAGCTGAAAGAATTAATGACGATATTTACAACAATCATACAGAAAAGAAAGATCTTAAAAGGCAAATGTGTAAGAATAAACTAATAATATATTTCTTGCTCTCAAGAAATGTTTTCTATAGAAAATCAAATTTACAAACATGCCATGCGGGTTCAAAAGACGGATAATTTCCCCTTGTATATTAATGGACTCCAACAAAAGAATGCACTCTTTGGGGTATCATAAAATAGTCTTCAAGCCTTAACCGCTAGAATTCCTACCCTTGAGACTGATAAAAATGTGTCCCAAGCCCCCAGCAGATATGCAACTTACTCAGGAAATCTACTCCAGGAAAAGGTTAAATAATTGTGCGATATCTGTGCAAGAGCAAAAATGGTAAAAAGTTTATGTGATAAATAATAATTTCAAGTCATCAGCATTAAATGAGATATTGCCAACACTAATTAATGATAAGTATATTCATGCTGACTTGAATGCTAGCATTTCTTTTCTGAAAATGTTAAGAATAAAGGATCTTTACCTTTTTAAGCTTATTCTTAAAATGTGAAGCAATGAAAAACCATTGCACTTATACTTTTATTAATATTGCACCAAGACTATATATTACATGACAGAACATTGAAAACTACGATCTTCCACCAAACAGTAAAATGCTACTCCAAATCATACATGAATAGTCATGTCTGGGATTGGTGTGAAAGGATAGCATTTGAGCACTATATTTCTCTGCCATGTTTTGTTCTCACTTACCATTCACTCATTTTTCAATTAGTTCTTTCTGCAGTTTTCACTAATTTCTTTGAAAGGCCAGAGCTTAAATTGCACTTGAGTTAGCTGGAGCACACAGGAGCTCTAAATAAAAGAGCCCTGGCACTTCTTTTATGTAAGTTAACCACAATAAAAATCCCACCTATACACCAAAGTCTTACGAGCGGGTTAATTTTTCATTCCTGAAAGGTTTAAAAAGGCATCACCCTAGTCTTGCATGTACTACGCTAGTAACTTCCTACTGCAGAGTTCCTGTATACTCTTTGAAAGATATAACCAATCGTGAGGGACCACTACTGTCATCTGCATAGAGAAGTCTTATGTTTATTCTCACATTATTATTGGATCATATTCAGGGAAAATTTCTGCTTGATGGTTAAAATTACATCGACAGGGCCTGATCAAAAAGTGTTGGACTTTTCTCTCTTTATTTTCAAAGCTACTTTTTTCCATTAAAATTTCCTTCCATATCCTGATACTGTTTCTAGAATCCTCACCATTTTCCTTTCTGACACTTTAATCATTTTATCATTGATGTGCTGAAAAGAATTATTGTTTTTGTATCTATCATTCCTTGAAATGGTACATAATGTATGATCAGGGCTTAAATTCAAACGGAGATTCGCTGAGATACTTCTTAGCTTTTGAGTAGAATTTTAATTTCATCTGAAGCCCAAAATAAGACGAGGTCTGATAATTTATTTTCTATTTATTTATAATTATTTATAATTTATTAAATTCCTATTTATCTCTACATTTCTTTCATTTTAAATTAACTACTTAATAATTTTAATTTTTATTTATCTTTTTTATTTCTTGTTCCCTTCCTTCATAACAATCTTTCATAGGTTTCTGGCATTTCTAAAGTCTAGAAGTTAAGCCATATGAAAGGCAATAAGCCACAGAAAAAATGAAATCATGAATACTCACTCAATAATACTGGAATAAAGCTGCACCTGCAAATCGGCAATTTTATAACTGTACATAATAAGCAGTGCTTACATAATTATTTTCTTAGCTTTGTTAAATACTAATGTAGATCTTTAGAACACAGTATGATTCTTTACTTAAGCTACAAAATAAACCAGAAATTAAAATTGCTACAAATCAGTAACTAGAAATATATAGCATTTTATTCATTTTCAACTGAAAATCTCCTTTATTAGCATTTAAATTATTTATCAATAAATTTAAGGTTTAAAGTATGTCTCATACTTTATGTATAATTAGTTTTACTGCATATTTAAGACAAATGAAAAATTAGAAAGTAAAAACACATATAATACCTTTTGACTGTCAAAGTAGAAAATAATGGCTCGAATTGAATCTACGAATTCTTTATTTAATGCAGTCTTTTCTTCTAAAGCATATAAATTTATTTCAGCAGTATAATATTTGGTTTCAAATTGCCACAGGTATCCTTTTACATTATGAACAGAACAAGCACTTGGAAGAGAGTCCACTCCAAGAATTTCTGCATGAAGGAAATAATTAGATACACAGGGGGGGGGGAGTCTTATATAAATTACAAATAATGTCAAAATATTAATCAACACATAAGCTTATCTTTGCATTATTGACAGGAAATCAATGTGTATGAACTTAAAAAATTTTATATGTAAAAGATAAGTTGATAAAAAAGCATTTCATTAACAATCTACTTCAATCGCATTAAAAATTATTTACTTACCTTCAAATATTTTTAAAAATCAAAAATATTTGATTAAGGATAATTTTTCTACTACAGTTCCATAATTACAAGGTTTTTGTTATTAGAACTTAAAACAGTTAAAAATAATAACACATGAGAAACTATCGCATACATTTCTCTACATTCTCTATTCTTTGAATATTCTTATAATATAAAAATTATCCATGTAAAATAAACTATATGACATCAAAGTATCCAACACTGCAATTTTAAGTTTTATATCTTTATTTGTCTTATTGATGAATACCACCCCTAAGTATGTGCCAAGAGAAAATTTTAAAAAAAAGGCAGCTAAAAGCATGTTTGATAAAGCACATAAAAATATGAAAATTTGGTATCTTTGCTAATTATCCCCCTCCCACCTCGAAAAGATGACAACTCTTTCTTGACTAATTTTTCTTCAAGTTAATATACAAAAGGCAACAGCCATTTTGAAAACTGGGGTGCATTAAGACTTCCATAAAAAAAATCAATGAATCAATAAAATTAAAACAGCAAGAAACATCCATAAAAACCCATTTATTTTTCAAATCTTTTTATGATTCATTTTTTGCACTCTGTTCTTCCCATGTACACAGCAATCTGTTTTCACTCAAAAAATATAAGATAATTATATAAATTTGGCACTGCACATGCTGCTGCTCTCCTCATACATATAGTAATCTGCTTTCATTAAAAATAAATAAATAAAAAATCAGAGCATTGCATAAATTTTGATCATTCAAGGAATACAACCTCACCGAATGCAAGATTCTGAATTTTTTTTATTGTGCGGTAAAGTGCCATATTTCTGAAGAAATTCAATGCTTTCATTTTCATCAGCTAACAAAGTTCCATTATGATTTCTTACAAGTAAAAATGTACTAAATTGGGGGGGGGGAGAATCCAGAAAAATGACCGTTCAATTTTAAAGTAAAAATTCATGCTCATCTGCTACATGCAAATGGGCATAGTTGGGTTGCATATAAATACAATTTCGTGAAATCACGAATTGCCCATTTTAGCGACATTGTGCATTGCCTTCTGAATACTTTTCAGGGAGATGCGAATAATTAGGAAGAACCTTAAATTTATTACAGATCCTTCACTGATTTTTGATTACTCTTACCAAGGATCTATAATAATATGGTGAATACAGTACAAAGTCCGTAATCCGTACTTGTCGGGACTTCGGCGATTCCGGATTAAGTGTTTTTCCGGATTACAGATCAGCAATTTAAATCTGGTAAGATGGCATGCAGAAATTATACAATTAAAAATATAAAACCATAATTTATGAAATTAAGACCAATTATGATCTAAAGGGTATAAAAATTTACAAACACACACACACACACACACACACACCAAAAAAAAAAAAAGCTCGATTTATTTGTTTACTTAAATTTCTTTCATGTAAGTTGTTAAGTTGCTTCGTTTTTTGTGCTACGCATGCTAACATTAAATGTGCATGCATAAAGCATACAAAAAAATTGTGGCTTGGGTCGGGATTATAGATCATTCCGGATAATGGACATTCGGATTACAGACTTTGTACTGTAATAATAAATATTTTAATTAGATTTTCACGTTAAAATTTATGATACTACTCAGAATTACTTTAAGATAGCAATCCTTAACTTCTCATATGAGCCTATATGTATAAATTGAAGATCTTGAATTTCAGACATTTCCAGAAAATAGCACTGAAGATAAAAATCTATTCATAAGATGGCAAATTATGAAAGAAGCAAAACAAGAATGGTAACAGCTTACTTAGAAAATTAGAATCTAATACAGTACAAAGTTCGTAATCCGGACTCGTCGGGACTTCGGCGATTCTGGATTAGCATCAATTAAATCTGGTAAATGGCATGAAGAAATTATCAATTAAAAATGAAACCGTAATTTAAATAAGAGCAATTATGATTAAAATGTATTAAAAAAGCTTATATTTATTTGTTTACTTTATAACATTTCTATCATGTAAGTTGTTTAAGTTGCTTCTTTTTTGCGCTAATACTTTCTCTTTAATTCTAACAGACATAATTTCCTCTTCAGTTACAAAGTTCCATGTTGAAGTCTGATGCTGTGTCGAGAATACCGACTACTTGTCAATCGAAATTTTTTCGTTTTCAATAATTTCTGTACTTTCTTATTACGGAAGCGTGCATGGGTAAAAGCTTTACTGGCTTTACGCGCATGCGTAGCGGACACGCGCATCAAACGAGCATGCGTAAATGGTTTACGAGCATGTGTAAATGCATTACGTGCATGTGTAAGTTTGTGGCTTTGCGTAGAGTAGACTTTAAGGTAGACCTTGTATTATGGCGAAGCTCTTATCGCCAAGTTGCTATTTCACTTATGGTAGCCTGAGTATTTGAATGTTATGGAAACCCTATTGTGACGTAATCGGGTGCATTATTCTGGGAAATTTTGAATCATGGGATGTTTTGTACGCGTTTTTGTGGTGTGTGTTAAAACCGTTTAGTGGATTTGAATGGGTTTGTAGGAAAAAGCTCAGATAGTCACTATGGAAGCTTCGATTCAGAAGAGTACCTGGTTTGAAAAAATTCTTTGAGTATGATTGATATTTTGATTTACGTGGTCTTGAGTGTAAAGCGAACTCGAAATCATGTTAAGTGAATATTGCTTTTGGTAGTTCTTAAAGTATAACAGTTTTTCGTTTTTTATGTTATTTTATTGTTTGGTTAAAATGTTTTTTATATTATGTATTTTTTTTTGCCTATATTATAGACTTTGTGCTCCTTACTTTAAGTCAAAAAATCGATGTGTACATGGCAAAAGTAAAGGGAGTGTGCAATGCAAGTTGTGCACTTCTGGGATTTTTGTAAGTGAAAATATGTCGTGTACATGGATAAATTAAAATGCACAATGCCATTTTTTGCATTTTGGTTTTTTTTAGTGAAAATAGGTCGATGCGAACATGGATAAGTTAAGGAGTGCGCATGCCATTTTTTGCAATTCGGGGGGGGGGGTTTAAGTGAAAATAAGTTGATGTGTACATGGATACCAAGTTTGTGCAATTGTTTTCTTGTTATTTTGGCTTTGTGTAGCGGCGATTTTTGGGCGAGTCAAAGAATTGCATAAAATCGGTATCCATGTACCGCCAAAAATCGCCAAGGAGTACCCTAAACTATACTTTTATCGTGGCTTTCAGGTCCAGATTATAGATCATTCCGGATAATGGACATCCGGATTAGACACTTTGTACTGTACTTGGTTGTAACACCAAAGCATAAAAGCCTTTTATTTATTTTAACCTTTCACTTACAAAATAATCCATTATTTATAAAATATGGTCTATTTAAATCTTCCTTTCATAATATCAACACATACTTAAAAATTTCACATACATGTTTAGTATTAATTACAGTGCTTTCTCATTACCTGTTCCAATATATGGTAGAGTTGCTATGTTTTTTGAGTATTTTCCAATATGCATGGCAATAACCAACCCATGAATGTGCATATGAATTTACATTTAATCAGCTTTTGCTGATCAGTGTTCAACATTACATTGAAAATATTGGCCACATATATTTTTATTTTTTTTCCTAAAAAAAAAAAATCTTGCTTTTTATTTAAAAAAAATTAATTATTATTTATGAAAAGAACATTACCTATGAGCTGTAAGATAACCAAACAAATGTTCGCACTTCCTGATTAACCACACCCCTACCGAAAATCCATAAAATGGTATCGATGAGGCAATACAGGTACAGGTACAGGTACAGGTACAAGTGGAGGGGATTTTAAGAATTTTGAAGGAGAAACTCTAGGGGGGGCTTTCTGAGAGTCGCCACTTCTCTTCCCTTACTGTTAAGTTTAGGATTGTGTATCCATAGATCGCCAATAGATGGCATTAGTGTTTGTTTGTAAAAAGAAACTGATGCCAATTATGTATATGTATCAGTTCGTCTTTGGTGTGCGTGAATAAATTTGTGTGGAAGAACGCTCTCTGTTTATTACTTTAACTGCGATTCAGTCTGTTTATTCGAGTTTACACATTTGTTTATGTGCCTGCAAACCGGGATTATTACAACCAAAAATCGACAGACGAATATTTCGAATGGAGGCGTCTTGAAAATTTGAAAAAGACGATCGTGTTAGACAATTAACTACGAAACTGATAAGCAAGTCGAATGAATTTAGCAATAATATTCCCTAAATGAGAAAATTGAGATAATCGAGATTTATATTAAATTATTGAGAAAATCATGAACGAAACGTTAGATCAGAATATAAACGAAAGTAATTCGGAGGAGATGAAAAGAAGTTACCTAGTCAGAATCCAGAGAAACGTTATATGGAGAGGAGAATGCACGATTTTGAGAAGACTTCGGAATCTTCTAGAAAGTCATCAAACAAACGCTAATGTTGCACTCCTTTGAAACAAAACCGTGAAGTTACACGTCCAATCGGAACTATTACGGAGATTCGGAAAGGTTAGAATTCTGGAACCAGTTCAAAATCAATTCATATCATAGTGTTGAGAAAAACGAAAATTGCGTACCTAAAATCCTTACTGAGGTATGCTTTGCGCCTTTCGTTCGCTTTGTGACCTATTATGATTCGCAGTAGAAAATTGAAAGAACGTTTGGAAGACACGATGTTGTTATCCTTCGCATTGAAAAATATTACCCTTACCAGTGGAACATTCAAAGTTAAGCACTGGTAAGCTGTACGATGAATGCGAATTCAACATTCGAATTTAGAATCTTAAGCGTTACTTCTGGAGTTTGGAAGAGTCTCTTCCTAT